ATATATATATATATATATATATATTATCTGTATATATTATGTCTATTTTTAGTTTAATCCTCTCAAATTCACTAATCAATTTCTTAATGTTGTTATTAAACTCGTTAAGGAAGAAACTGGAGTTATTTTCATTTCTTTTATTTTCCCAATTACTTTCAATCTCATCCAAGATCAAAAAATTAATGTAATTGTGAATTTTTGTAAGTGCACATGAACGCGCTCCGTTATAATTAATTAAAAAATTAACCCTGAAGAATAATAAGCATGTAAGGAAATTAACTTAATTTATATTTTTTATTATTAATGTTTTAAAATACACAAACAGGAAATTTATTTTTTTTTACAATTTGAGTATCCCGAAAAATTGTTTTATAGTAATGTTAAAAACTTGTTACTAGACTCATAATTAATGTTTAGTGTTGGTTGTATCTTTCTTAAATAGAGGACTTCAAGTTTTTGTTTTTATTTTCACAGTGGAGTATAATTGTAATGTAAAATAATATTTCTCTAGTACTTGGGAAAATAAAAGAAATGATGATAACTACGGATACTTCCTTAATGAGTTTAATAACAACATTAAGTAACTGATCCGTGAATTTGAGAGTATTCAAATAAAAATAGACATATATCCAGATTATTCATCGAAATATGCATGAATGAAGATTTGCTGCCACACACACAGACATATATATATATAGGTAGTAAGTCTTCATATATATATATATATATATATATATATATATATATATATATATATGACAGAGAGAGAAAAATGCGTAATAGATAATTGTGCTAGCACAAAGTCAAGATTATGATAATCGAGGTTTTCAATATACTGACCTTGTTCAAAACTGCTGATCGCACAAGATGATTTACTCTCGCCCAGAAACTACAAGTAAGGTTGGCTCTGTTCGTGTTGAAGAAACACTTGTAGACCTGAATGATGTGTGTAAGTGATATGGACTAACAAATATATATATATATATATATAGATAATATTAGTGGAAAATATACATACATATGAAAAATATATCTAAAAAATTCCCATACATGTATATTTTCAGAAAAAAATTCCAAGAGGAAGAATCCAGGTAGAACTCAATGTCTAAGACAGAGTAAGGATATAATAAAAGGCTTAAACACTAATATTCCATGGTCATAATTTATTCCATTGAATCGTAAATACGATCCAAATCATCAGACCTACAAATTCAAAATGAAAACAGAAAAAACAACTCCGGAAATCAAAACAGAATTTAGAGAAAGTGTAAGCATGAGGATGAGTGACAGAGAGAATTTTTGGAGATGTGGGTGGGGTGGATTTAAAAAGAGGAGAGAAAGAAAGTCGACGGATGTCTAATACATAAAGATACATTTCGTGGTGACATATACACACCACAGACAATTCGGATAGGAAAAAAAAAAAAAAAAAAGGGAAAGGGTGGGGGAGAGGGATGGGACGAAGGAAAATAAAAATTGTGTTTACGTAAAATTTAAAATCAAATATAAATATATGAAGATGAATATAACGATTGTCTCATTTCGCAAGGACCAAATATTTGTATGTTCAAAAACACATACTAATACACACAAAAAAAAAAAAACATATACAAGTAGGTACATACACTTAGGCATGTACACACACCCAGACATACGTGTACATGCACATACATACACACACATACACACATATATATATATATACACATATATATATATATATATATATATATATATATATATATATATATATATATATATATATATATATATATATATATATACATACACATACACAAACATACATACATATATATATATACAAAACCTAAAATATATTCACATATCCACACATACACATATTCATCTATATTCATATACACACACTTTTCACATACATATACACGCATACATATGCCCCATGTATACATTCATACATACATACATACTTATACATACACATACACATACATATACATATACATACATACACACATACATATATATATACCTATACATATATATATACATATACATATATATATATATATATATACACACATATACCCATACATCCACGCACATACACATACACACATACATATACACACATACATACATATATACACACATACATACATATACACACACATACACACATATACACATACATATACACATGCAAATACATACACACCCTTACATATGTATATATATACACATGCAAATACATACACACCCTTATACATGTATATATATACACATGCAAATACATACACACCCTTACACATGTATATATACACATACACACACACACACATAAACATGTATACACATAAGTACACATACACACCTATACATATACATACATAACATAAACACCTCCATACGTATATATATACACTTACATACATACACACATATATACACATACATACATATACATACAAATATACACACATATACACACACATACACATACTCATACATACATATAAATACACACAGATATATACATATATATATATATATATATATATATATATATATATATATATATATATATATATATATGGTTATTTTATCTTGTTTATAATTAAGGTGCATCTGGTCACTACAGAATAAGTTACTGGTGTATTTATCTTTGTTTAGGATCATTTGTGTTATTTTTTTTCTAAGTTTCGTTAGGACTAATTTTAATTATTTGTCGACGGCATAGTTGTGGAAGTTATTGTTGGTAAATGTTTATTTTGTGTTTCTTACAAACTCTCTCAAAAGAATCAATAAAGTCTGTCGAATCTTTTCCATAGTGAAATACATTCTACTGAGAAGGATGTGAAAATTCTCATAGTTAAAGCCTGGGTTGTCTTAAATAAAATGGATGTAATCTGGAAAGCAGACAACCTCAAACGGAAATTCTTTCGCTCCAGTGTAGAGGCGGTTTTAATGTATGTTGCCACTGCTTGTACATTAAGTAAAACCATTGAGTCTAAGCTTGATGGAACCTACCCTCGGATGCTGTGAGCCATACTTAACATCACTTGGAGACAACATCTAACTAAATCACAGCTCTATGAACCCATCCCTGATATTTCTACAATCTTACATAAACGCAGAATGCGCTTTGCAGGACGCTACCAGTGAGCAAAACAAGAATTTGTGGGTGACTAGCCATTGGTGCAAGATGGGTTGGTCGCCCAGCAATCATCTATATTAGCCAAATATGTTATGACACAATGTCATTCTAATGTCCTTCTGATCTTGATGAAAGATTCTAATGTTTGGCATGACAGATTCGTGAATGTCCGTAGTAACTCGAGCGAAATAAGTTCTTTATAAAATAATGTGTCCGGCGAAGAGATTATTTTGACACGGTTAATTGGGTTTGATTGGTTTTTATTTTTTCATGACAGCTATTTTGTATCTTTGGTCTTTAAAAAGACAAGAATCTCTAGTTGTCCGCTGTTTATATAGCGGAGAAGTAAGCGTAGAACAGTTAAAGACAAATAAGACTTAATAATTTTTTTTTTCCATGGGGTTCCAACTTTTATGAAGAGTTTTAGGTGCAACTGTTTTATTGTTTCAGCAAACACTTAAACTATATTAACTACATATTCAATAAAAAAAGTATTTTCAAAAATTAAAAACTAATCGAAATAGATGACATTAATGTTGAAAAATAACAATTAACAATTCGAATATATATTTATGGAGAGATAGAGCAGAAGACAGATAAAAGAGAGGACGTAGGAGATATTATTTTTGCATTTCTTACTTAAATTTCACATATAAAGATAAACCGTGTTTTTATAATATTTAAGTATACAGACTATATTTGAAGGGGATAAGGGAGATACAAAGTTTTCGAAAAAAAAGTAAAATTAATGGATAACCTTAGTTATCAATAGCCGTAGGATTTTAAAATATCGATGTAAAATGGAGATTGGGATGGATAAGGGTGAAAATATGAAGATAGAGGCAAAATGTAAAATAAGATTCTACTATTCAAATAAATCTTAAAGTATTAAGATTTCCCCGAATATTTTCCATATTAAAAAAATGAACTGGTTGAATAAAAAGGAAGCAACTTGACCAATTCTATAAGGATAGATAGAAAATGGATCGATAAGTTCATAGGTTTAGTTTGCATCTGAAATTTTCGCTGTGTAAGGTTCTATCAATGTGAAGAAACGTTCACAAGGGAGTGTATTTTATCGAAAAGTGAATATTTGTTGCGTAAAGTAAGTTCTTCTTACACCATAAAGTTAGTAGTACTTGCACATAGATAGATAGATAGATAGATAGATAGATAGATAGATAGATAGTTTGTGTGCGTACATCATTATATACATTTATGTGTATTTGTATATGTACATTGCGCACACACACAATCGTTTGATGCTTAGTCTTTCTATAAAAAAATATGCATTTTTATATAATAAATCAAATCAAATATGGAAGTGCTAATATGTCATCGTATGATTTATTATTACCCTTTTCGATACACACACAAAAACGTCGATCTGTCATTTATGAAGAATATTTTATGTCTGCGAAGATTTTATTGAATTTCTCACAAAATTATTTTAATGAACGTCTTTGTTTCGCCATTTTCCCCTCTACGGCCGTCTATTTTTTCCCACTCTTTACTTGTCTGAACCTTGCGTGACCTCCATCTTCCTCGAGAATAGTCTATCTATTTATCTGTCTACTTGTTCAGTTATGTTCAAGCTATCAGTCCATGAATATTTCTACCTGTTCACAAGCATCTGAGTATGTTAATATCTATGTTGAACTCCATATTAGCTGCCATTTCAAAAAAGAAAAGTATGTATCATTTATCCTTGTCGTTCAATAGTGTGTCACGTGGCAATGTCAGTAGCTATTTTTTCCCGCCATTATGTTAATAAGCTTTTTAATCAAGCTTACGATTTTTTTATTTTTTATGATCAGTAATATAATCATATTCAATTAAAATCTTACATACTTATGGGCTTACAGTGACATCAAGATGAAACACCGGTTCCCGTACGATCACCGAAGTTAAGCAATGCCGAGCCTGGTCAGTACCTAGATGGGTATTCACTTAGAGATGTCAGGGGATTTAATCACGGATTTGTGAGTGGTTTAATTGATAATGGCTCGGAATTGTTAATTGGAGAGCCAAGTTCCAATTCCAAATGAGTTCGTTATATTCACTTATGCATAAATACTCTTGGGAAAGGCATGAATCCACTTCTTCTCCTCTCAGCTATGGGTTAATTAGTAAGACTTGTATCTCTAAAATAATTCTCATAATCCAAAAATATTTTTCAGGCTTTAAATAACCTGCAAAGCTTGATAAGCCATAGAAAACAAATCAATCAATTAGTTGGAGATATATATTTATGTTATAAGTTGTGGTAGAGATATTATTGTGGTCGCATGATGTTTTTCAGACATGAGTTAGTGTAGTGATTGTATTGTGTTGTATACTACGCAATACGTAAATCAAGATACGCCTTGTCCCTGCGGCATCCTGTGGGTAAAGACAGATATGTGTTCTTCCCGTTTATACTGATTTATACAACGCCACCTATCGGGAGTTAAAGGGAGTCACTTGTCAGACAAGACGGATTTTAGTCAACATAGTGCATGTTGTCAAGTTTATATCCACTGGAAATATATAAGTGTTGATAAACCGTAAAAAACGAATCAATCAATCAATTAACTTGATACTTATGAGTCAAATATATCCATAACATTTTAATGTTTAGTTCTTGGATGTTTATATTCATCGGTATAAATTGTATATAGGTATGTATGTAAACATGGATGGATGGATTTATTGTCATATATAATTCTCGTGAATCTGCCGATCGTCTAATGGAAATCGGCGTGGAAAGTGAATTCTAGCCTAGTCTGTTGGGTTCACTTTCGTGCCATTTTCCCTAGGAAAAGCTTGAATCCATATCTTTTCTACCAAGCTACTGAGTGAGCTCTCTAGTCTTGATTGGATGCCAGTTTAGGAGAAAGATTGTCTCAAAGTCACAGGGAACCACTCCAACGTTTTCATAAGAAGATATGGCAATTCGCAGAGAGTAAAGAAAAGGAATGTGTGGAGAACCATTATCACTTACGTCCTGAAAATACATGGCATTTAAAAATATTTTTAATAAAATGGCAATTCATAGATAATGAAGAAAAAGAAAGTGTGGAGAGCCATGATCTCCTACATCTAGACAAGACATGGCATTTAAAAATATATTTAATATAATGGTAATTCACAGATAATAAAGAAAAAGAATCTGTGGAGAGCCATGACCACCTAGGTCCTGAAAGAACATGACATAAATATAATAATATGTCTGTATGTTTATTTATCTTTAATCTTTTGTCAGAATTACAAAAGAAATGTTAGTAACAGTTAAAAAGAGGCAGCTAAACATTTCGGGACACATAATGAGGAAGGAAGGCTTGGAAAATTCGATATCCACAAGATGCAATTAGTTGTTAACCTACTTGATGAATTGATAAAATAATGATTACCACAAAGTCAAACAGAAAGTATTAATAAAAGAATCACCAGACAGGAAGCTGTGGAGACTCATGTTGATCCGTGCCTTTTCAGGGCGTGGCACATTGAGAAACCGACAGTGATTAAAATTCTTGGTCAAGATGCATTTTTTCTAATTTTTTTCTGCAAACACACTTTATTTATTTATTTTATTTTTCTCTCTTTTTTTTCCAGCATATATACGAAGTAAAGTTGAAAAGTTGGTCAGACCAAAGACCCCTACAAAAAAATCTGATTTTTGATCATTTTAGGAAGTGTGTTGGAACAACGGCTTTTCCGTACATCCTAAGGTACACTTCATCATTTCACGCCAAGCAAGGCAATGAAGCCGCTAAGATGCATGGAGACTCAGTCAGTTATATGCCATGCGTGAAAACAGCTTAGACGATCATGTATCTTTCGATACATGACTGACGAGGCAGATTTTTTTCCTGCAATAGGTTGCCATTTCTTTCTGCCGTAGACCAGTTGTCATCCAAGACTATAGAACTCGGCCTGTTCTTCTATTTATCCATAGCTGGGGGGAGAAGAAGAGGATTCATACCTTTTCAAAGGGTATTAGCACGTAAGTCAATGTAAGGAATTCGACTTGAATTCGAACTCGGCTCTGACTAATGAAAATAATAGAATCTGAGAAAATGTTTTTTTGAGGAGAGGACAATAAAAGAAGAGGATTAAAGGAGTCAGAAGATGATGATTGACTTTGCATTTAAATATTTGAAGATTGTAATTAATAGAATGTAGAGTTGTCAGTAAAAGAAACAGTCCAACATGCGAATTACAAATTGAAGATACCAAAATTAAACAAGTACAGAAATTTAAATATATAGGAAGTGTTTTAACAGAGGACGGAATATGCGACCCCGAAATCAGAAGAAATGGGATAGCGAAAGAGGCCTTCCAAAAGCTAAATAATGTATTAAGATACAAGAAAATTTCGTTAGAAACAAAAGAATACTGAACTGTTGTGTAATATCGGTACACAGATATGGCAGTGAATACTGAAAAAACTCTTCACAGATAAAGAAGATATTTGAGGCAACAGAAATATAGTTCTACAGAAGGATGTTGAGAATAACATGGACCGAACATGTGAGCAATGACGAAGCTTTAGAGAAAATGGAAACAAAACACAAACTTATATGTAGCATCAGAGAGAGTTGAAATTTCTAGGGCACATAATAAGGAAAGAGGGCTTAGAAAATCTGACACTCACATGACATTGAAAGCAAGAGAGACAGAGGAAAGCAATGCATAACCCTTGCCTAACGAGCAAAATAGTTGGTAGAACAGGGATTAGGGGAAAGAGTAAAAAGACAAACTTTACTAAGGATACTAAGGACAGGGAGTTATAAAGACGTATGATCGTCCACGTCCTAAAGGGACACGGCACATAAAAGAAGAAAACTGGAAAGCAAAAAGGCGGAATAGAAGTCAACAAGCGAGAGACGTGCGAGAGAAGAACGGATGAGCATAGAATCTAACAATTTTAATGATGAAACCAAGCTGCCAATCTACAAGGTGGTCCGAAAGTTTTGTCGCCTCTGCATAGTATAATTTTCCATTTCAGATGGCTGACACAAGTACCTACAGGAAAATGATGGTGTTCATACAGACTTTCTCGATATGTGATAGCGTCAGTGAACGTGAAGAAACTGAAATTAGTATATTACTTCTGTTGTTCTCATTACTTTTTGGTATGGGGTGACAAGACTTTCGTATCACCCTGTAGTACTACACTTAAATTTATGAAGTCGATGTACCAAGAAGAATAACTACCATATAAGCATTTATAAAAAAGACACAGAGTTACGTTACAGCTGGGTGGAGGAATTTCTAAAACAGAAATCCCAGCTCAGGATCGAAGACATTGAAATTTGTGCTTTTGAATTTGGCAAGAATCTCTCAATTCATAGTAGAATCAGCAAGCCAGATGTGGCTACAATATTCTTTGCATATGTGTATGTATACGTCCGTGTGTGTCTGTGTGTGTGTCTGTGTGTCCGTGTGTGCTCAAAATCTCGCTGAAAATATTGTCATAAAAGTAACAGGTCTCTTACTCACTGACATCCGTATATTCCTCATAATCTGTCAGTTATTGAACTGCTGGAATTTTTCTGAGTCATCAGGAACGCCAAGACGAAAGAGGAACACATAGCAGGCGGATTCGGGGCAATCAAATCAGAACTGACGCTAGACACAACAGGTTTGGGTACACGACACCTCTTATCTCATGAAGGGATGTATATGCACACTTGTAAAGAAACGTTCACATGCACACATATATAATATAATATATAGTAAGTTATTTATGCAGGTATGCATAATTGATAAAACGAATTACCTTTTATATACATCTCATTCTATGAATTTATTTTTTCTTTCTCCGTACGACGATAAAAACACATTAATATTCACTTTTATTATTCATGTTTCATATTATCTTCACCCCAATTCTTTCACAATTACTCTATATTTCTCAATTTATTTCTCGTTCTCTCTCTTTCTCTATTTCTTTCCCTCTCTATTTCTGTCACTCTCTCTTTCTTTCTCTCTATATATCTTTGTCTTTCCCTCTATTACTATCTTTCTCTTTCTATACTTTTCTTTATCTTTATCTTTCTTTCTCTGTCTATGTTTCTATCTCTCTACTTCTTTCGCTCTCTATCTCTCTCTTTCTCTGTATATATCTTTCTCTCTTTCGCTCTCTATTTTTTTCTTTATCTCTATATATTTCTCTCTTTCTCTTTCTCTTTCTGTTACACTCTATCTTTCTATTTCTCGCAGTCTTTCTCTTTATCTGTCTCTTTCTCTCTCTCTCTCTCTATATATATATATATATATATCTTTGTTTTTCTCTTCTTCTCTCCTTATCTTTCTCTCTCATACACATTCTTGTTTTCTCTCACGTATCGTAACCCTCACATTCTGATGTATGTGTATAATCACCTATTTCCTCCAAAAAAAAGACAGAAAAACGCAACACACTTAAATTATGCACTCATATTTGCATGCCCCCTCACTCACTAATCTCTCTCTCTCTCTCTCTCTCTCTCTCTCTCTCTCTCTCTCTCTCTCTCTCTGAATTAATCACCAGAGAAAAGACTAATTTCTCAAGTCGGAACTCTTTAGTAAGAGAGGCGGATTTGTTTTTGATTTGATTATACACATTCTCGGCTCAGCCGACATTCTACCCCGACCTAGCTGTCGATTAGCTACTAATGGATGTTATATTAGCTCGGTCATTTCACAATATATACAACACTGCGTGGACATTTCCGCGTACACTGCGTCTAATGGCATTCACTATTCGCTAATCATTTTAGACGAGAGTTCTAATGTCGACTTCTGTTGCAAAGAGACCCAGACTCTGCAAAATGCAACAAATCTACTGTATTGTATTAGATTAAAATTCAGCACACTAGTTTTGCTATTTGCCTAATTGAATTCAGAGAATTTTTTTAAAAAATAGAGTGGTACGACTCATTTTTCAAGAGGGACGATTTTACAGACAAGGTTAGGGCAGCTGTCTT